GGAAAGAGAAGGAACTATTTCTAAAACCTAAGGCCAAAAAACCCTAAAGTTCATTGTTTTATACCATCAGCCCTGACAAAAATACAAGAATACCTGAATGAATTCTTAGAGGCTGCTGTTCTTAACAAACTAGGTCCTTTTGCTAGATTTGAGCATAAAACTTGTGAGTTCTTTTTCACGCTTAACAAATATTACATGTTATATATAAACAGTTAAATGAAAGCCAGTAAAATGAGGGAACCAAAAGGAACAACTACAAATACTGTGTTCATGGCTTTTCCAGTGTGTCCTTTAAAATGTGCCTAGCATGGGATTATTATGCAGTATTTTATCTTATAGGACATATTCCATACTCAACTGCCTTTGTTGGTTTTAGCTTGGAGCATATTTTTAATAATATTTTGATACATCTTTCTGTAAGCACAGATACTGCATACAAATCAAGTATTTGAAGAATTTGCAGGAGCAAAGCAATTAGCATATTCTAAATTAAGCCCACAATGAAAGATTTCTTGCAACTACAAGCAACAGCTATAAATAAAATCTGAGGCAGCACTAATAGGCCAGAAAGCAGACTGAAAAGAAATGGTGTTGTGACAACATATAGAAATAAAAGTGATTTAGGACACACAGCAGTTCTGAGTCAGAAGAGGAAAAAGATGTTCCTTTCACGTGCTGAGGGTCTTACCTCACGAGAAATATACATTCCACATAAAAGGAAGAAAAAAAAAAGGAAAATAAAACACTTTTATAACCACATCTTTATGGACAAATGACCTTCAAAAGGAAGCTTTGCAATGAAATACAATGAATAAACAGCTTGAAAAAATAAAATGTCATTAAGGAAAATATGGGTCATTATGATGTAAAACACAGATGAGAGGTGAAAAAAATCCAAAACAAAGCCAAAAACCCTGTTTGCCTGTCTTGCTGAAATATTTTTAAATTACTTCTGCTTTCTCTCATTCATGAAAGTTGAAATTGACCCTTGCACATATAGACAGTGACAGCTATGAAAAGTGATGAGAAACGATGTCTTTGTTTGATATTTAATAAGAATTCATTTTTACAAGGTATGCAGCCTAGAGTATTCCCACCTTTAAAATGAATTGGCAGGTACTGGCAATTCATTAAGCATTAACCCAATGGAATTTACATAAATATAATCCTCTGTGGTGTAGGTGTGGTTTAAATACAGGAACTTAACCAAGAAATTGTATTTCAAGTACCATGCAAATTGAACAAGTTGTTCTTGCATTCATGATTATGTAATTTATTTTGGATGATTCAGTGCTAATTATTATTCAAAATCTGCCCAAAGCACTATGATGTTTTTGTCCATAGATTAATTGATGTTACACTCCAGCAGTTACATCACAGAGCAGGAGGGCATGTAAAATCAGTGAGTTTTGAATTGGGTTTCCTTTTTCACTATTCACTTGCAATCTCAAATGGCAAACCTAAAAACTCAACACAACATCAAAGTTTTGGCAAGACTTCTATCAAGGACAATTCTAACACTACTAACAGCAAACATCTTTCAGCTTTTGCTATTTACATTTCTTTAGTATAAAGATTGAAATCTCCAGGAATATCACTATAAAATTATTTCATAAAGAAGAAATATCTCTTGTTATATCAAGCTAGGCATTAGAGAAGGAAAAGAAGGACTCATTTTACAATGTTTCTTACTCCTTGGCAAAGCACTGAAGAATGAACATGCACTTATTTCATACATATAGATATAGATAGATATATATAATTCAAAATGCAGTAGAATCCTAGAATGACATTTGAGGTATATCAAAATAATTTTTTAAATGTTGTTTGCTGATACTTATGCATGTGGAGCTATATGCATTAATTTCAGTTTTTCTCCACCAAAACAGACAGGAGAACTCTGTCTGTCTTTTGATAGGTATCACTAAAATGTAAAGAGAAGGCACTCCCATGCTACTGAAAAATTAGACTGTCATCTAAAAGAGAATCCATTAGGCCCAATGAATTTAAATTCTTTTGTTTGCTTCATCAAAGTAAATAATTTCAGATCTATCACATTTAGATGTTCCTGAATAACAAAGATATTTCTGTACTAATGAATCCTAATTAAATCTTACTTAGGACAGACATGAAAACATAAAGACAGTATTAAGCTGGAGCTCAATGAACATACCTGAGAAATTTCTGGTAGCCAGCATGGTTGTCAAAATGGCCCCCTGTGCACACACACATTTGCTCAAATTAGCATCACACTTGTGTAAAATTCTGAACGTGTACGTGACACAACAAAAAGGAAAACACACGTAAATTACAGCAACTCTATAAATTAACCCTGAAAGTATGGATTTTCTGTGCATTACTTATCACGTGTGATGCCACGAAGGCAGAAATTGTAATTTAATCCTAATTACACCTCTCAGTCATCTCAAGTATTTACCATTTATGAACATATAATGCACAAACCACGAGTACTCACAGGCACAGTCATCAGCAAGAAAGTACATAGCTGAATATAAACCAGACCTTACTCAAGTGATCAGATTCTTTTTTAGGTTGGAAGAGGAGTTTATTCGTAATGTGGTAATTAGAAAAGTTCACATCAGCAAAGTTATCTTGTCTGATGAGGTGAAAAAAAGGAATAATCTAAAAGAATAATCTTAAGGATTTTTCTTCAATGTAGTATTTTAATGTGTATCAATGAAGATAACTGTTATTCTTTTGAATCCAACCAAATTATGCTACGTCCTACTCACTTCCACAAAAAGTTGAAGATCTTCATGCCAAAAGCTGATCATCTATCAAACAGTTCATTCAAGCATAATTTTCAAGAAAGAAACTGCTTAGGGATCATTAGTTTTCTACACAGAACACAAGCCACCATTCTTTTATCTTTCCAAAATTAGCTACTCATCCTTGCAGAAGTTTTCATTCTTACCTTTAGTTTTCTTCTTGCATTGAATTTCTTCAAGCAATCTACAGTCTCTTGTCTGTGCATCATAGAGGCAACAGTAGAACGTTGCTAAGAGAAGAAGAAAAGAATCATTTTAAGGCACCCAGCCAGACGTCTAGCATTTTAGTTACTCTACAACATACATATTACAACCCACATGGTCCAAAACTTAGGCCTTTAATTTCTACCCTGTCTGACCGCCCCTTTGTGCAGGTTTCTACACATTTGGGAAACGTCCAAATCAACAAAACCAAGGCCTCATTTCACTCAGCCTTTCCCACGTGAGACAAACAGGGACTAAGAAAAACAGAGCATCTTAGAACTTGGTTTATGCAGTGTAAGAATCAAAGTGAGATACTGTACTAAGACTTTGGAAAACATGTTTTACAACAAGAAGGAAATTTTTATTCACCATTGGTGACAATAGGTGAGGTACAGCAGCAGGAAATATTTCAGAGGAAATTCAGTGGTACCTGTATTTTCTCTGTAACTTGACTTATTTTGCATCACAATATTAAAGGCAAGATAATGCAGCCTACTGGAGTGAATAAAGAGCTGGGAACCAGCTATATGTCTCACTGTGACTTTCAAAGTACCACCCCAGATTACCTGCAAAGTCACAGCATAGAAACTATTGAGAATTGGAAAGTAGTCCTGGATCCAGTAACAGTCAGGCAACCTCTGCTACCTGCTAGCTGACTTTATAAAGTCCCTTAATTTCCTGCCTTTACATTTCATACTTATCATAAGACTACAAGGAAATGAAGATGTTAAGCAGTATCTAAGTCAAAGTTACCTTCTTGTACCTATCTTTTCTCTCTGAGAATTTAAAATAATGCTCTAATTTTGGATCTTCTGCACCACAAAGTCAAGGCAAAGGAGTTAATTTCTGCAAAAATCTTATCGCAGGCTGAGACTTCAATATATGACACTATTGACTGTATCTGCACAAGTAAGGACAAAAATTATTCCCTAAGAAATTATTCACCTTCACTATATGCACAAGGAAACAACCATAAGCTGATTTATCTGTCAAATCATCCAGTTAAATTTGTGGAAATGACTTACACAGATCCATGGGTGCTTTAGTGCTTCTGATGCTGTGATACGTTTTGCTGGGTTGATGGTGAGCATTTTATTGATAAGGTCTTTTGCTTCAGGAGTCACTGTATCCCATTCTGGTGAGGGAAACTTTAGAAAACATAAGTATGTGTATATCATCTTGTACAATCCTCACACAATTTTACCTAAGGATTTTAATTGATGCTGTTTCTGTAACATTAACTGCTAGCACAACCAACCAGCTTTAAGGGGGGAAATGCAGTTTGCTACAATGAGAAGTCTGAATTTTCCAGTTTTGTAAAGAGTGATTTTCTCCTTTACTATTTTGACTTTTATTTATTGGGTTCAAATGCAAAGCATTTCTGTATTTACAATAACATGGTACCAACTGAAATTCATAAAATGACATATGGCAGAGAGAAGAAAAAATTCCAGTCATCTGAGAGGCACTTAGGGCAATCCTACTTTCTCTTTTAATAAAGACAAAAATATTAAGCATTATTATCCAAACTCCTTGTTTGTTATCTTTCAATGTAAATCTTAATGCTAAATGTATAGTTAGCATATACAAATCTAACTCATTATTAATAAATGACCCCCAGCTCAGCAAAATATTTATACAGGCACTCAAAGTGTCTGCTCAAATGCAAATGAAATGAAAAAAAACACACCTTAAATTATTATGCTGGTTTTGGCTGGGATAGAGTTATTTTTCTTCAGAGTAGATAATGGGGAGCTTTTTCACTAGGAAAACTTCACAGATTGTAAGTTTATTTTGCTAAAAAGCCATAGCACAGCAACTCCCTTTCGGTCCGGGGCTGGATTCAAGTAAGAGCTCAAAAATTACGAGGTTCTGTTTTTTCCTCTTTGTCCTCCACAACTAAATTAAATTTGAGTATCAATAGCCCTCCGTCTCTTTAATTTAATATACTTGGATGATATTGCAACATTCATAAAGTCACCAAATCATCAGCTCTTATTTACCAACAGTTCTAATGCTTTTTGTTGGAATATACATAGATAATAAAACTATCCCTTTTGAAAAGCTCTGTAGCAGCTTGTATTTCCAAAAGTGGGCACACAACAACAGCACCAAGCATTAAGGTGTATATTTAGGAAGCTTAAAGCTTCTTAAAAACAATTTAGAGTAACTGATTGGTTGAAGTAATAAAACCACAAAGAAAAATACAGTCCCTTGGCAACTGAGAGAGGTCACAGAGGGTAACATAAGCTTGCATGACTCATACAAGGTCCAAACTATGAAAGCTTGGAGCATAGGGAAATTAGATTTAAATTAGCATAAGATGTTCCCATCCCAATAAGGTTGATGACAGTAAAGTGACATTTACTAGATTGAGTCACTCATAAAGATAACCAATACAACAAAAATGTAGGAAATAATTCTAGTTTCACTTTTCACTATAGGAAACTCCTGTGTAGTGGTACATCTACAAATAACTGACTAGACAGAGGATGGTACATACATCATAAGCACCAGCCTTGATCTGCTGGTAAAGCCTGTGCTGGTCTTCATCCCAGAAAGGAGGATATCCCACCAGGAGGATGTACAGAATGACACCTGCAGAAAATTCACAGTAGCATTAAGTAATTTTAAGAAACAAACCCAAGAAATTCACTTTGCACCTGATAACCAAGTAAAACAAATGGTTCGAGAGTATTCAGCTACAGAAAAACACTGCCTGGAGAAAACAGTCAATGCAGGGTTCACAAGATAAACTCCTCTGAGCAAAAATTAATATCTGACACAACATTTTATCAGAGACACTTAAGATAACTCTCTAGATGAAGAAATAATTTTCAGCCATCATGGATGCTCTAGGAAAATTAGGTTTTTACCTCTGGTTTTATCGTGGCTTGTCCTGGTATCTATAAGGTTGTGTTTTAACTAATCTCATGCAAAGAAAATTTGGGCAACTCACTTGATATATATATAAACACATGGTCAATAGGAAATAAAAAAGCCCACCTGCTAGTCTTACAGAGATGATTCACTATGACTAAAGAAAAGTGCTTTCATAAATACAACCAAATAAGCGTGGGTTGGAGTAAAATAAGGAAGCCACCAGTTGTTCTCAGCTAGGTAGCAGTCACTTGCCACTACCTTAAACCACACTGTTTCAAGAACTGGATGATACAGTAATTGCTCTGCACTCCAGTTCACAAAACATTTAGTTCCACAGTTTAAAACTGCAGTTCTAGTATATTGGTCATATCAGGTTTTAGGCTGCTTGTGAACTATAACTTCAGCCCAGCTCATGGTAGAATTGCTCTGTTTACTAACCAGTTAGGCATCATGTGCCTGCTGCTATTATTTTAATACTCTTGTGAAAGAATGTTGTGCAGACATGACCAAGAGTGTCTTGACAACACATCTTCATAAATAAAGAAATAAATAAATAAAGCTGGTAGAGTAACAAAAGATCTGATGACCTCTTCTAAAAATTAAGATTGAATTTTACTAAATACATATTATCTGATGAAGAATACCCTGTACTCTGGATATAATATCTCTCCCTCAAAATAATATACAGTTGACCGAACATGGTCTTGAAGAACAATATCTTACCACATGCCCACATATCCACAGGTTTTCCATAAGGATCTTTTCGTAATACCTCTGGAGAAAGGTATCCTGGAGTGCCAGCAAAGCCTGTCAAAACACAAGGCAACTATTCTCAAAACTGTACATGCTCCACAAAAATCAAGTGATTCCCATCTCAGCCCACAAGACACCATTTCCCAAGCCAGCCATCATTTACCACTTCATTTTGTACATTTCTTTTCCCCACCAACACTAGGCACTCCAGATTCGACAGTGGTGTCAAGGATCTGGTGACAGGGCAATAGGGGAAGGTTCCCAGAAAGTTTACAAGATAGCTAACAGCATTTCACTTGTGACTTCTGCGTGAAGGGAGACCTCAAGCAGTGAGGAAAAGGGAGACCTCCAGCAGTGAGGTGAGGTGCAAATACATCTGGCTCAGGGTCAAGGTCAAAAGAATTAGGAGAATGGGAGGATCACAGGAAACATTAACTGAGTGGTCTGCTTGGAGATACTAACTGAAAGACCAAAAATTCAGGACTGTAACTGGGTTGGTTTTTCTAAACCATTACTATATTTCAAGTTATTTTTAAATAGCCCCAAACTATAAAGACTGTAAACGACTTGCATTTCTGGGAGTCTATCAGCTGTGAGGGCTGTTACCACACACAGATTTCCACTGACATTTACAGGAAACTAATTAACAAAACAGAGGGACATCTGAGCTACAGCACCTTAACTATCAAAAGCGTTTAATGAGCCCTGATCAGTCTTATGGGAGGGCTAGTTTCTGAGGAAGCTTACCTATGGAGAGACCTCTAACTTAGAGTAAAAAAATAAGTAAAAACACAGTTCAAATTTCTTCACACAGAAGAGGAAACATAATTCAGGCAATGCCAGGTGGTGGCAAAGTAAATAATGTTCAGAGACACTCAGGAGTAGCTTTCACAAGAGCACCACTGGTTGCTACTTAATATGAAGACGACCAACTTGGGCTCAGCTTTTGCTGCTCGTATTTCACACAGCTACTTCTAATACCAACTTTCCACTGCAAAACTCGTTTCTGTGAAGTCATCCCACTTCTGGAAGCCTCCTTACAAAAGTTCACAAAAAGCCTCTCTGATGTAATCCAGCCTTTAAAATTTATGTGCCCTTCATTCTTTATTCATTACCAGCAGTGCTTTTTTCTCTAAGGAGAAATGCAAAATGTAGATATAAATGGAGACTTTTCTTAAGACACTGTAAATGATAAAAACTTAATAACCAATAACATTCTGTACTGTTTCAGTTAGTAGGTCTGCTCTTTCAAGCATCTTTGCCTAAAAGAAATGCTTGGAAATTCTTGAAAGGTGAGAATTTAGTGGCTTTCATGAAGGACCACATGTCATTTCTGAAATACCACACAGGATCCCACAAAGCTTCTGAGTGATGGTGATAATGTATAAAGTGCACAGCTACAGAAAAAGGAAGCCTTTGCTGTAAAGTTGGCAATCATTTCAGGGTGGGAGGAGGAAATGAAGGAACATATTTGGTATATTCTAATGAGAATACAGCTACAATATTGTAATGAAAAACAAGCTTGGTTTTTGCAGTCTCCTGATATGGGAGCTATGAATTGTTACAGTAATATCACACAGGAAACACATCTTAAGCTCCTTTGAGAAGCTGAAAAATACATGTTCTAGGTAGCTTTAGAGTGATGTTTAATATGTCTTCTTGGCTGTAGTTCTTTACATTAATATTTTTGTTCATTTTGAAGAGAAAGTACAGTTGTCCTGAATTTACAGCTTATCTGACTTTCCAGTCCATAAACATGACTATGCATCACTTGAAAATAAACTTTAAGGACAAAATATTAGCAGTTTGCTAACTTGATCTCTTGATAAAGACACAGAATGGGTCTAAACAGGAATAATCCATATGGTTTTAGTACATACTCTGAAGCTGTTTGTAGCAGGAAACACAGAAGAGTGCACAGTCATGATTCCAGCAAAAAAGAAATAAGGTACTGAAATTGTTAACGACTCTTTATTAGGTAATTCTGTAATTGGTCAGAGGAATCCCAAAACAAGCTGACTTTTCTGAAAGCTATTGCTAAACTAGTTAAACAGCTAAAAGAACTCACAAAGCTGGAAACTGGTTATGACTGCACAGTGTCAAAAAATGACACAATTACTTTGTACTCCTATCATCACAGGATTTAAATAAGTATCCAGAGGACCAAGACAAATGCTGTGCTTTATTGAGGCCCGTGGTGCATGAGATAACATGTTACCCAGCCTAAACAGCTTACATTCTCAAAACCCTCTTATGCAAAGATTACACATATATACTTTGCTTCATAAATGGCGAGTACATCTTTTGAGTCAAACCTGGATTGAAGGTTAACTATAGTCACGCAACATAAACTGAAATTAATGCAGAGAGCTGTATTTTAAACACACAGCACAAAAAGATTAGTGCTTTAAGCCCTGCTCTCTGCTTTCATCAGCCCCCTGCCAGACTGACAGCCTTCTCAGCATCACCCCTGCAAGGACTGCAAAGTAAACTGGCAGAATAAAACCCATTAGTTTAAACAGTGTTTAAAAGTTATGTATCTTTTCTAACACACTTTTGACTCAAGATCCAAAAGATCAAATCTATACAACCTAAATTTAATGCAACTAGCAAACTCATCCAGTGAAGCTACTCAAATTACTTAAGTGGTGCATATTTTAGTCCTAGAAGCAAGGCTGGACTTAATTTAATGGACCAAACTAAGACTAAACAGCGAGTTAACTGCAAGTCCTTCCACTGACTCCAGCAGAGGGCAATGAGTCAGCTGCCTGGGTGAACCTGTCAGACACTTTCCCAGAAAATTCAACACCTGCTGACAGGGTGCGGTATTTTAGCTAAATCCTGGAACATTTTCTACAGAGAGGCAGGGAACAGGTTTGTTTTACAAACCAGGGAAGCATTCCACGGTATCCAAACACACAGAGCTCCCGGCAG